TATTTGCTTAACTCAATATTTATTAATAATTATGAAGTAAAGTGTTTAAAATCTGTTTGTATTTTTAATGACATTCAATGATTTAGTTAATTGTTCTAGACATATTTATTGAATTATTCAAAGGTATATATAATAATTTAATCGTGCAATTTAATGTTATGTGTGGGTAGCACTGCTGTCTTGCAGCAAGAAAGTTCCGGGTTCGATTCCTGACCCGGGGTCTTTCTACATGGAGTTTGCATGTTCTCCCTGAGCATGCGTGAGTTCTCTCCAGGTACTCCGGCTTCTTGGCACAGTCCAAAAATGTGACTGTTAGATTAATTGGCTTCTCTAAATTCTCCTTAGGTGTGAGTGTGTGTTTGAATGGTTGTTTGTCTCTGTGTTGCCCTACGATGGACTGGCAACCTGTCTAGGGTGTACCCTGTCTGTCACCTGTGGACAGATGGAGTAAGTCATGTTGGGATAAGCATGATGGAAAATGGATGGATGTATTAGATTAATTAATAAATACTTTATGGTGCATTTATTTATTTCAAGTGACATCACATGTATATATTTCATGATATATACTATATATAATATATACCTTTAGCATCACATCACAATAGATGTAAAAATCATCTTGCAACCGCACACTTTGTGTCTCTCAACTCCCCCCAAAGATTCCAGAGCGCCACTTCTGGAACCCCTGCTCTAAATGAATGAGAACAGTATAGAAATAGTGGTTATCAAATTGCTGCATCAGATTTATGAGAGAAAAGAAATTAGAGGTCAAATAAGAACAAGCAGGCTGATTCAGGTACAGCTATTAATATTTCAATAATGTAACCCTGTTTTCTTTTGGGCTAATGTGCTTTTCTTTTCAGGGAGCTGTGGGTGACAAACAGGTCCGACTTCTTTATTAAAACATGAAAGTTGCTTGTTTCCAAACAGCAGCAAATGGGTCCCTTTGGACAGCCACATTGACTGCTCTACCACCACAGAACAAAAACGGGAACTAATTAAGACAAGCCATTGTAAATAAGCTGTTCATAGTTCACGCTATGAGGTTTCACAAACTGAAAACCAAACTAATGTATAAACTGCAATATAATAATTTGGCATTAAGGTCATTACGTACATTACTTTAAAAATGTCCATAGCTGTATACTGTTTATTTATTCTCCAGATGCAGTTTTACATTGTTAAAACACTTTACAGTACATTATGTTATTTTTTTATGTTTTAACTCTTCACTATTATCTTATTCTTATACATTTTTCTATGGTCCACATTTGTCTGAGAATTTTGTTTATAATATTTTTGCCGCTGTAAACACCAGAATTTCCCAATTGTGGGACAGTAAATGGATTTTCTATTTTATTCTATTCTTTCAGAATCAAATCAGAAATGCCATGTCTATATGTTTATATTAACACTTTATATATACTTTTTTTCTTTATATACATTTTTTTCTTTTTTCTTTAGTTGTTGGTTAATGCAGACAATATACATATTTTATCATTATCAACATGCTAACATAGGCTTAGACCAGGCATTTTAATCCTTACATAAATGCCAAAAAAAAAGATTTGGTACACTCTGTATTTCTGTGAGATTGGGACGTCTCTTTTGTGATCCCTGTGAACTGATGGTCTGCTCGAGCATGTCAAAGCAAATGTCTGGACAGGAAACTGGTTTGATGTTCTGAAGTGTAACAAAAAGCGACATGTAGAATAATGCAGGTCATAGCGTTTTTCACTGGGGTCTAACAGAACCATAAAGTCTAGAGAACAGAGCTGAGAGACACGATAAGACTGAATTTGTACTTTGAAATCAAGAAAATTTAGATTGGATGTCACTGGTTTTCAGGACAGTAATTTAATTGCATTTAAACCATATTAATGTAGACAGTAAATTCCACAGTGTTAAATATGAACCGTCAAAGTACATTGACTCTCTAAGAGTTATTACAACAACAACTGGAGAAAGATATACACTATATAGAGTTGATTTAACACTAATTCGGAGTGGAATCAAATGCGTGGTGTTGAGTTTAACTCTTAAAGTTTTACTTTAACACTGTAAAATGTACAGTGTATAACCAGATAATCCAGTGTCACACACTAATTCAGATTAAATAATACATTTAAACATGAATGAAGAATTTGTCAAAATTACCACCTCCAATGGGAACACTGAGAGACAAAATAGTCTTTAGTCTACAAAATATCAAATAATATATATTAAGCTAAGATAACCAAACAATATTAAGCTAAATAAAACTAGTCAAGCAACCGCCTTTCGAAATCACCTAACTTGCAAATACAGTCAAGTTATCAGCATTATTATATCAGCATTAATGTAAATTTTTCCTGAAGTCCTCAGATTTGTTAAAGAGAACAAACGGTGTCCTTGAGACCAAAGGACATATGAACCAGGTTGGAGATAAAGCTGTAGAGAAGTTTAAAGCAAGGTAAGGTCCGTCTTCCACTGCATATGTCTCATCCTGAAGCAGCCAAGAGGCCTGTCGTAAATCTGTGAAGATCCACAGCTCAGGTGGGATAATCTCCACAAGAAGAGTATTAGTTTTGGACACCATAAATCTGCTCATTTTGGAGATATGTTAAGTCAAGAGCCAATGTTGACAGGGAGGCATAGGAAGTACCATTAGTAGTTTGTCAGAAACTATGTATGGTATGCAACAAACATGTACTCTTGGTGTGGTAGAAAACCAATGCATGTTCTTAATCCCGAAACCATTATATTCACTGAAAAACATAGTGGTGACAGCATCATGCTGTGGGGATAGCTGACTAGAGTTGATGGGAAGATTGGTGGAGCTAAATGAAGGGAAATCCTGTAAGAACATCTGTTAGCTGCTGCAAAACACTTGACCTCCCAGCAGAGTGAGCCTAAACAAGCAGGCAGGGCTACAGTGGAGTGGTTTCGAGCAAAGCAGTCATCGGAGTGGCCCAGAGTCCAGACTTCAGTCTATCTGAATATCGGAAGCAATGCTAGACAGTGATCTTTAGAAATACCCTGAGGATAATAAAATTATTCTGATGCTGATTCGTGCACTAAGTTAGTATGCAAAGATGCCTACAATGTTCAGTTTCTCAAAAGCTGGGAGAGACATACCCAAAAAGACTTGCAGCAGTAGAGGTAAAGTGAACTAACTGTGAATACAAATGAACTCACCACACTTTGCGTTTTAACTCTAAGAAAAAACATTATACACCACATAAAATAGAAAATCCATTTCACAGATGGAAAATCGATGATGAAGCAAAACACTATCAGAAAATAAATCCCGAGTCCCAAATCCCAGAAGGAAATTTGCAGTTCTTACTCTTGTAGAGTGAAAAGTTCAAAGAAAGCATATGCAATCTACTGTTTACTGTTGCAATCAGATCTGTGGTCGACTACATATGAAGGTTTCTGAATCCTTTCATCTGGTTACCAACAGCTGTTTTCCTTTTTTTAGTCTTTTTTAATCCAACCGACCAAAATAATTTGTGTACAGAACATTGTTTACTAATTTAGCAAGATCTATTACATTATTTTCTGAATCAGTGTGTCGGTATTGTACCTGAAAATGTCCAGTCTTGTACCACAGGATTGATATTGCACTGATACATCCGCCCACGGCTCTGCACAGGCCTGCATGCGTAAAAAGCTCCCAGTGCAACAGGGGAGACTGACTCATTGTGTCTGACTGATTCAAATGGACGTGACGGGAACCTGTTTGAGATGGTCTAAGCATACAGCAACAAAATGGTAGATTTCAAATCATGTGTGTGATGGAGTGTGGGGGGGTATGTGTTTGCTTTAATGAAAATTGCTTTTGTCTTCTCAGCTGTTTATGTAAATGTGGAAGCATCCCTCGTTACCTTTGTTTCCTCCCTCGATATGCACCGTAAGACACATTTACAACCTCTCATCCTCATGAGGCATCTTGCACTTGTGTAATGTCTAATGACATTAAAGGTGAATCTAATGTGATCTGAAGATCTGTGTTTGTGAGGATTGCATGTCAATACATTTCAAGTAATTATGCATGGCAATCTCCTTTTTCCTTTGGGTTTTTTTTTTGCCAAATCACTGCAGAAGCACCGAGCCGTCGGCCAGAGATAGGAAGCAGTAAATTTCCCCAAGCTGGGCAGGTGGAATATATGAAATACAATTTTTATTTTCTGCTATTCATTACATGAAACAAATCTAAGAACTCCCAACAAGGTCTTATCCGTAAAGGGATCAGCTATTGACTTCTACTACAGGGCAGATTTATTATTATTAAATATTATTATTATTATTATTAAAAAACAAATCCTATAAAGTGGCATCTGCTACCTGTTTGCAGCACGTTAAGTGTTATATTCCCTACAGTCAAAATATCCTTCAAAAATAGTATCAGCCAAGAAAAACCTGATCAGATTATATCTCCGTTAAAAAACATAAAAAACCCATACAGACACTGAAGATGACTCTTTCTCCAGCATAGGAGAAAGAGTCCATCATTCAACATCTTTTTTTGGTTGTTTTTCTGCTTCCTCTCTCCTTGGCCTCCTCCTCCACTGACCCACTCTTCTCATCCCCTCTCTGAAATATTGATATACTGGCTTCTCACTGGGTTTGCTCCTCATTTGTCACGAATAAGCATTTAAAAATCACACAGAAGACATTCTCATTAAGGTGCAGCCTGGGTCTCTGATGGGCCAGCTTGGACACCCTCCATCAGACATTTGCCAGTTGTCAGTGTCACCCTCTGAGGCCAATCACATGCCTTATGAATATTTCACAGCACTCACACACACCACGTCTCCTCTACTACTGAGCCTGGCTTAATGGCAGCCAGGGGGAAGGAGTTTCAGCGCATCAGACGCATGTTTGTCACTGATCAAATGGCCACAGGCTGCAGCAGGAACGCAACAGCAGCATTGATCATATGTGTGAAGTTGTAGGTAGAGAGCTAATGTGAGGGGCGGGGTGGATCCACGCAGCTTGGATTCATATCTTACCGTCAATCCTCCTGGTTCCTTCTTCCTCCTCCTCCTCCTCCTCCGCGCTCACTGCGTCTCCCGCATCCCGTCCCTCTGCTCCCTCATCCGCTGTACCCTCCTACCCGCCTCCCGCTCCACTTGCTCCGGTGCATAAAAAAATAGTAATAAAAAATGAAAAGGGAAATTGCTGGGCCCAATCCGCCTGGATCTAAATAACAGTCATTAGCGCGTTTTGTCAAACAACAACTGGGCGTCCTCCCCTCTGTGATCAGTGCGCTCTACTGGACCTCACACCCTCTCTCTGTGTGGATGTGTGTGACTGTGCGTCACGTCGGTATCATAATTCCCACGGGTTTCATGTCCAGAGATAATGCGGGGCTGTGAAGGCCTTGGTGCTCTGGGAGAGCTGGATGGATGAATGGGGAACGGGGCAAAAAATTAGCGCACGATCAGCCGCCGCAAACAGTGATTAGGCGCAAATTATTACACCAATCCGTCGATGCCTCTCCTCCACCTCCTCCTCCTCTTTCCTCTTCACCGTGCCAGGCAGCTGTCGCTCTGCATGTGTCCGATGTTCATCGAGTACATCCTTTTAGTTTTAATGGTGAAAAACATCGACGCGACAGGAGCCTCTTCCAGCATCCTGGACCGATGGTGATGAATCGAGACACATCAGGAAGGATGTGAGATCTGTCACGTTTTTTTTATTATTAATAAAAGAGAGAGAAAAAATATGCTTTTATAAAACAAATCTAAAAAGCACAAAGAAAACAGCTGGAAAAGCAGGAGAGAAACGGTCTCCTCTCTCCTAGCCTCGCCTTGCATCCGTCCTCCTCTCTCTCCTCTCTTCTCTCTCTCTCCATCCGCTGGTCCCGCTTGTTGCGCGTTCTGCGCTCGAGAGCGCGCAACGCGTCTAGGCTTTCTATGTGCGTTCGTGCGTGCGCGTGCTCAGAATCAGAGAGAGGCAGGAGTGTGTGTGTGTTTTGATGGTCGGTCGTTGAAGGGATTCAGATATGTTGTCAAGGTTTGTCTGAGTGAGCAACAATAAGCTGCTGTGTAGGCAAAAGCAGAAGAATAATGCGCCTTCATCTCAGCATCTGTCTCCTCCTGACCACCTCCGAGTGCATTTGCAGTTCTTTCATGGGCGAATGGGAGGTATTGTATTTGCTGCACAGCCAGACTGCATGAGATTTTCAATGTTTCAATGGAAATCGTGAAGGACTTTGGATTATGTTGCTTAAATTCTGACATAATTGTCAATTTTTCCAGGTTTCACAAAGATTGAAATAAGACATCCAATCACAGGAATAAGGATATGAGCTCTTAGAGACACCTGATGATTATCTGCTTCAATTATCTGCTTTTAATGTGGATTCTGGATCTGCATAAAGATTTCCTTTCACAGCATTTAAATTAGAAATTTTCAGATCAATATCAATAAACATAATTCCAGACATAACCTACATTTCAGTTAAATATCTTGATATTCTAAGAAACAAAAAGAAAAACAACAACAACCAGATTACAGTATGGTAGACCATAACTTTTAAATTGTAATTATTAGCCACCACAGTGTCTATGTATGCCCATTTGGTGTCCAGACATTTAGCAAACTAATGAAAAGAATATAAACTACAACTATGGGTTCAGTTAACTGTCGTTTTAGCATCTTGAATGCGGTAAAATAGCTCTGGGATGCAGTTTTATCAGAAACACCACAATGATGTGGTTTTTACATCATATTTGAGGTTAGTTAAAGAATCGAGCACAGACACTGATCAGGAAAACCAATTCTTTAATGATGAACAAAAAGGAGAACATATAGAAGGTAAGCTTTCAATTTCCCTTTGGAATTGATGAAGTATCCTTGGGCATGGAGCACAGACAGGGTAACAAAGGAAACCAGTAAAGAACAATGAAAACAAACAGTAAGCTTATGTAGATTCATATAGAATAAAATGCACAGAAATCAAAGAAACTAAAGCCTAAGAATTTTGAATGGATATACACAAGGAGAACATCAAAACCCAAGCCAACGAAGATAATATCAGATCAGTCCTTTTTGTTTTCCATAAAAATAAATATTTAAAAAACATTCAATATTTCTGAGTTGAAAAAAATACATAATTAAAATCTTTTAGGGGTCTCCTAGACCCACTTCAGTTCAGGACTCGAGGACACTGATCTTTCCAAGCTGTGTACCCAGAATAGACTGCATTTCCTTTCTTCATAGAGACCAGACTCTGGATACTTTCTAAAATGCAGTTAGAGACTAAAAAGCTTCGGATCAGACTGGAGCTTTTCTGACACACTCTCTTGATTTTATTGTATTTTGTCCTTTGTATTGTAGTTTGGCTTGGATTTGCTACCCTCTTTGTGATATCTGTCTGTGAAAGTTTGCTAAGTACAGTACAGATAGAAGGCTCTCCGTTCATCAAGAAGTATTTTTTAGTATTTTTCATTTACTGTACACCACATATTTGGTGTCAAGTGCCTCGGATCTCTCTTAAACCTGTCATGTCTTCATTGTATCTCTTCCTGTCATTGGTCTTTCATTGCTGTGCCTTTTTTGTTTACAGGTTTGCTTCTATATTGTCATCTGTTTCTTCATCCCGCTTAAGATTAACCTTTTAAGCACAGCTATCTTGGAAACCACCAGTGCATGAATGACCCTGAGGAGTTTTTTTTTTGTTTGTTTTTTTTAACTGGCATTCCTTAGGTGATTGAACAAGTATTAGCAACAGACCTTTGATGACTCTGATAGTTTAGCACACAATGCAATAAGGCAAACATTTCCCTATCTGGCCTCAGGTTTTAGGTAATGTTTTTTGTTCTGTTTGCCAAAGTAGTGCTTCTCCTTTCTTTAACCTCAGTAGTCTTCCTCATTACCCCTCATCTCTATTTTAGGCCCTTTCTGTTTTTAATGTTTTTTTATTCATCTAATCAAACACGAACACATAATGTCCTTTCATGGCTGGGCTGATGATTCTCTCTAATTATTATTTTTGGTAAAAGGTTTTCATTTATTAGCTTATCTTTATACTCTTCCCTACAATTACTTTTAACCATTTAAATACAACTGAGGTTGTTTTTGACCGTGATCTGTAAACCAGTGGATCAGATGAAAATGGGTGGGTTTGTTGACCTCGACCTTCTGTTTTTGTTTTTATGACAGTTGTCGTTTGTACATATAAAGCCTCAGCTCTTTGCAAATGTTTGCTAAAGAATTATGTCAAAGTTTTGGTTGTTTGAGTTTGAAAATATGTTGAATTTTAAATTGTAAAAACAGGAATGAACTCTGTGCTTAAACAAGCTGAAAGCATGTGTTAAAGGAACGGGGCTCTTAGATTGACGAAGGCAAGCCATGCTCCTTTTCTTTGGAGGGAAACATGCCAAAAGGGAATCCTAACTGATCCCACAAAAGCATCATCAATGCAGTATACAAGTGAGAGGAAATGTGCAGACACTAAACATAGACCTCAGTACATGGCAAGGAAATCACTGATTACTGTATGCTGTTGAGCTCGTTTCCCCTTTTCACCCTGACTCCCTTTGAATAGCTGTGATTGCTGCTTGTGCAGACCATGAAAGTACAGCCAGGCTTCACAGACACTTAAAACATTCACTAAACATTATTTTAATCCTGCTGAATTATTCATCGGTTATCAAATTGTTCAAGACGAGCTTTGATTGGGTGGTACACAACATGGATAACTACATCTCCATAAAGCCGTGTTGTTGAAAATTGAGAAATGGCTTCTAGTAGTCCTCCTGGGTTTAGTAAAACAAGCTAGAAGGATACGACTCCTTCTGGCTCAAACCAAACCTTTTGCTTGGTGGTAAACTTCACAGAATCATGTTTAGATTATTCCAAACAAACACAGCAAAGAGGGGCAGATTTCAGCAGTCTGTGAAAGGGAGTATTCATATTTATATGAATGTTGGTGAAAAATCTTAGTCATCCAGGTCATAGTCATTCCAAACAAGGAAGGAATTAACTCTATCGCTGCATCGTAGGTTTTTGCATTCCTTACTGCAGTTCACCGCAGTGAGGAATGATCTGATCTTTATATTGGAGAAACCAAACAACGTCTCCACAAACGCATGGCCCAACACAGAAGAGCGACCTCCTCCGGACAAGACTCTGCGGGACATCTACTCCTTATGGACAAAGGACATTCTTTTGAGGACCAGAATGTTCACATTTCAGACAAAGAAGATAGGTGGTTTGAGAAAGGAGTAAGGGCAGCCATTTATGTTAAGATAGAAAAACAACCTTAAACAAAGGGGGTTGGACTCAGGTTTCAGCTTTTAAAAACCAACACTATTACATTTTTTTTTTTTTTTTTTTTTTTTTTTTACAAATATTCATTTAAACGATAGAGATGTTTTTCTATTCCACTGCCTTAATCTGTGCTCTTTTGAACCTTTGCGTTTTTGGACCTAACTTTTATAAATAGAATGTTACAAAGTGTAAAAAGCCTAAAGGGATGCATATACCGTAATTTTGCAGAGCTCGCACACTGGGCCAAAGAGATCATCACAACCTCTGTTTGGTTTAAACTATAGTTTAAAAAAATTATGTGAAACTATCACGATGTGGAGATTTACTCTGAAAATATCCAATAAAAGCAAAATTCTCTCAAAGAATAATAATCGATTTATCTCCATTGGGTCAAATTCACAGCATTGTTTTTTTCATAATCTCCATCACCACATGGACCCTCCTCCATCCTTATCATCTCTTCCTCCTCCTCCTCCGGCCTCAGCTTCATCCCCGTCATCACCTCCTCCACCCCAACCTCTGTTTTTCTTCTTCTTCTTCTTTTTCTCCTTTTTCTTCTCATCCTCCACCTTGTACTTGAGTCTTCTGACAGGGTCGCTAAAGCTGCGCATGGACTTGTCCTCAAAGTCCTCCTTTGAGAGGAAGTTTCTTTCGATGAGCTCGGCTGCCTCGTGCCAGTTGCGGTAGCAGTCTGGACCCATCTGGGTGATCTCCTCCACTGCGTTGGGGGTCAGGATGGAGCAGTCGGGACGCAGGACCACCACTGTGGGCACCTCCTTCACATTAAACATGGCCTCCAGCTCCCTGCAGACACACACATCAGCAGACACTAGTGACACACTAGCGTGTTGACATTATGAGGTAACACTTTACTGTTCGCGTGCTTCACACACCTCCTGTATGGATCCTCATAAGCGAGGAACAGCGACTTCTTTGGGAGCTCCTTTAGGAAGTTTTCAAGCTGTTCCTCTGTTTGATCCAGACTGAGGGATTAAAATGAAAATAGAAAATAATCGTTAGGCATTTCTCTAAGTTGCTGTTTCTTTAAACTATGTTCAAAAGTACAGATAGAGTTCAGAAAATTAGAAATTTATAGATAAGATAGTTAATTGTACTAAATTTAATTCACAAGAATGAAATTCATACCAACTAGATTTATTACATAAACAGTAATTTGTGTTTGTTTCATTCCATTAATTTGGATGATTATAGCTTCATCCCATGAAAACACATAGTTTACTCTCACAAAATTAAAGTTTTACATAAGACTGTTAGAAGACAGTTTCAACAGACAAAATGCTTCATTGAAATTATGTCCATGTACTTTAAAAGGTATGAACTCAGTATTTGGTCCCTATTGCATGAGTTAATGCATCAGTTCAGTGCGTCATTCTAGTTATCAGCCAACAGATTGTTGACATTGTCAGGTCTGCTGATTCCCATCTATGTTTTGACAGTAATCCATAGATTGTTGATGGGGTCTTGGTCAAGTCCTTCTGCTGCTTATTGAATAAAGCCCAGTGATGGACTTTACGTTAATATATTTGGCAGAGTGATCAGCTGCAAAGTTCTGATGGAAATGTAGAATTAAGCTCTCCATAAAACTTAACAGAATCAAGCACATGCTCTAAAACATCCCTAATAAACTTAATAGAACATCAGCAGATGACATGGCGCTCTACATAATGACAGGTTGTGGAAACTTCACACTGGACCTCTTATTGCTTGGATTCTGCACCTCTCCTCTCATTCTCCAGACTCTGAGACACTGATTTCTTAATAAAATACATTTACTTTCAACTGAAAATAATTAACTTTCTTTTTACCCCAGGAGGGAAGCTTCTCTCGCTGTCACTTAATGGCTGAAATGATTACATTCCTTCTATTCAACCTTCTATTGTTTACTTTGATACAATATTCTGTTAGCTACATAATTAATGGAGGGTCGCTATATGCATCACTGTAAAGTTAGCATTTTTTACTTTAATAATGGAGTAGGATAAAACATAACAATGTTTTTATTAGTCTTAATGTAATCTTCTGGTTTTCAAAGAAAATAAATTTGAGATTCTCATTAGCTTTAGGCCATAACCATGAACAGACAGATAAAAAAATAAACAAACTTTGCGACTGTTTTTAATTAATTACAAAGAAGATACGGTTAATATGAAGTATAATTATATACATTTACCTGTGAAATGCAATGCAGAACTACTGGCGTATTTCTTTATTAACATTAGAGAAAAATGACAAACATAATCCCAACAATTAGATTATATTCCCAGACCAAAACCAATGTTTATTAGATTAAGAAAAAAAATTAAAGATATAAAAGCCTTCAAAGTAAAGTTTTAGGTTTGTAGTAACTTTAATTTATAATCCAGAGTCTCTGGAGATGTTGTTAAATCAGGAAAAGAAGCCGAGAAGTGATTAATTAACACAGAAAAAGAAAACAGAAATATATTAATGCTGTAGGGACAACTTTCTGCATTTGGTGCCGGTGTTGATCAAGTTCAACTAACTACAGTGGATTATATTGGCCTTTTTGAAGGAAAAAACATAGTTTGTGTCTCAGTATTACTTTTGTAGACTATGAGGACTTGATTTATTTATGCAGACAATAAAAAAGTAGGTTATGAAACTGACCAGTTAAGGATATTCTGTTAAATCACTGTATATCTAATTCCATCCACTGCAGAAACAACATGCAAGCGCATTAGAAAGGCATAGGACTAAAAAATATTACAAAGTGTATCCAAATGACATATTTTTTAACAGCTTTGCCTGAGGAATTTAACATTAAATATTGGTTTCCCTTCTTAGGAGCCTTTTTTGATAGTTTTTGTCTTTGAATTATAAAATAAAAGATGCCTGACTAAACTGTTATAACCGTAGATAAATACAATCACAACTGTAGCTGTGCTATATGCTTTTGAGCAGTGCAAACCCTCTAACACAATTTGAAAAAAAAAAAAGTAAATGGCTTTACTAAAAGGCGCAGAAAATTTATGAAGGGAAACAGACTTGACAAGGATGAGAAAACCTGTGCGTAATGAGCATCTCGCTGAATGTTTGTTGATGCACCTGATGTAGAGAAGAACCAGCTGAGCGGCGCGCTCCACGTAGAACTCATCAGTCAGCTGTTTGAAGAAGTCATGGAGCGTGGGGGCAAACTGTTGGCAGGTCTCAGACTCAGCAGAGGCAAAGAAGAGCATCAGGATTCGGTTTTGCAGGCGCATGACGATCTCACGCTCTGTGTCCAACTCATCCTGATCCTTGTTGTTCTTCACAAGCACCCGATCAACAAACAGGTCCACCATGATGAGATGACAGGGAGGAAGCCAGAGCAGGAACAGAGAAACTGACTGAAACATTAATGTTGATAAATTTACTGAACAAATAGGCAAGGCAAGGCAAATTTATTTGTATAGCACAATTCAGTACAAAGACAATCCAAA